GCTAACAAGCAGGTGAAATGCCATCTCCCGGCTGCCTGTTTGGGGGTTTTCCTGTGTGTGTTTCAAAAGACAAACTGTAGTAAGTAAACTGACTGAAAAATAGCCTTGGGACCCCCAGAGAACTTTGGGATGATGTCACCGGGACAGGCTGGGCTGCCCTGCAGCGACGGTAGCGTGGAAACTCGGTCATGCTGTCGTGGGGTGCCCTCCTGCCCCGACACTCTTCATGTGGGTGCTCAGGATGCATGTGACAAACACACGCACAGCACCCTTCCAGCCCCTCTCTCAAAACACGTAGCAAATGGTGGGCACACGACTAACCCGCTCCACTGCGAACCAACAAACAACCCGGAGAGCCAGGATCCATCTTTTGAGGCGAGCGAGGGCCGGGGGCAGATGGCACAGGCTGATGGAGAAGCAGCACCCCAAAGCAAAACTCACCAGGTCCCCCCCGAGCCCCCTCGGCCACTCGGCACCTGCGCCCCAAGTTGCCCCACGCAGCGCTCGGCCCCTACGCTTCTATTCCGTCTGCGATATTTTTTATAAAAGCCTTGTTGCAGCAAACACGAGTCAAATGGCTCTAATTTGTAGTGCTACAAACTGTAACATGCTCAGACGTGTAACTGCCTGACAGACTACACAGAAATCTGGCTTATGCTCCAACCTCTGAAACAAATGCAAATACCCTGAAACATTCTGCTATTTCCCCAAAATTCAGATACGAAGTAAAACAAACCTACTGCCAGATTTTCTCATACAAATACTTCTTTTTACAAAATAAATCACTACAAATGTATTATTTATTTCAGACCATAAACAACACAGAGGAAAGAAACACACACACATTTTCCTTTTTTTTAAAAAAAACTTATCGATAAGAAAAGCACGTATATAGCTCTTTTTTTAAAGTTTATTCTTTAATACCTTGTCCCTTAAACCAGGAAAAAAGCCAATAGCTTTATCTCGAGAAAACACAATTGGAAAGCCTTTTTATGTTGTACTGTTTTGCAGACACTTACAGGAGGTTTTTAAAGAAAATTCACAGCCATGCTATTCCAAACGGCACAAATACAATTATTTACAATTTATTCCTCACTGTGTCAATTTTTACTTTGGTATATTTTTCAGAATTTCCTGGGAAAACACAATGAATTGCCATCTAGCTTAGCGCACCTACACTGTTGCCTCTTTCTCTACATTTTCTCTTTACAAATCAACCACAAACATTTTAGAAGTATTTTACATACATATAACAAAGTCTTAAAAAGGACAACACCACAAGAGAAATGCTTAAAAACAAACTGCAGATATAAAGGACCTCCTCCCATGTTCCAGACGTACCTACAAAATCCCTGCTCACTGGTACGGGATTATACATGCCATTATGAGCTCGGCCTTTTTATATTTTGTACTATTTTAACACCCCAAATTTATAGATTTTTAGAATTGGCATGTTAAAAGGGCTTTATTTAAGGATTTCAATGAAAACAGTGTTATGTTTTGTCATATTACCATAATCCTTCTTTTTAAATCACTCAGAATTTCAGTATAACCTAATTAAGTAATTTTAAGTAAGTCTTAACCCAAATACATAGATCTAATAAAAATGTATTTTGCAAACAGGGAAAAGGGACTTCTAAAATTAATTCCTCAGGTATGAACAAAGATGCCGAAACATTTTCTCCCCACGAACTTTGAGATCTGAACTATTTCGCAGCACTTACATTTAAAAACCAAAATGCTTATAAGAAAACAGATTTTGACAAATATCAAGCATAATGTTTCCTTCCAAATTTATTTCTTTATTCCTTTTATATATAAAAGAAATCTTTCAATTTTCCTTGCCAAAAAGGAGGGAAACTAGAGGAAGAAAAATACTGCAAAATCCTAGCTACCTATCTTCACGTATTGTTTATTTCAAAGTTCTTCTAACAGCAGGTTATATTGTTTTTAGATATTGTATATTTTTTTTTGCCAGTGGAAATATTATTATTTGGATTTTTGCCTTTTAAAAGGCTACAGAACAACATTAGAGATTTTAGAGACTTCTAACCATTTTTAATCTCTCTCTTTTTTAAATGCTACAAACATCCCATCTGGTAAATGGAATTTACATTTCTCTCGTCTAAATTATCAGAGTTGAATCAACAATTCAAAACAGAAAGAACAAGTGATGCACCGAAATAAAACAGCAAGTCCAACACTTTAACACAGCTCCTCTCTCTATTGGTGTATAATAAGATCACACAAAGCATAAAATATCTCAGAAATATAGCCTCTTTCCTGATCAGAAAATTTTACTTATTGACTAATTTGACCTCCAGCAATTGCGTTTTCTCAAAAAGCATCCTGTCTATAGCTTTCTGCCACTTACTGACTCTTGCTTAATTAACCAGCATGCTTTAAAAACAAGTCTTGTTCCTTCAACTTCATCAAAACAGACTATTTTTAACTGCTACCATATCAAATATATTTGTCAATACAATAAATCCACGCACAATCAGAAAGAACTAATTTTTTAGCCCTGTCTCTGACCAACCATAAATTACAGCACTCACTTGCAATTTATTTGCTATTCTAATATGAGGTGAACTGAAACACACACCACAGCTCACAAATACATCGCTCTTTCTATAACATCCTATCATTTGCATCTTTTGGGAAAATCCAGCATACCACTGTCAGCACTCCTGCTCTCCTGCAACCGACCGGACTTCAGAAGGATTTGGCATTAACTTCCCTCCCTCACAACACTTTGCCTCCTCAGCTCTCTCGAAATAACACAAAAATATTTGGGTTTGTCTGAAATGTCAATAAACTCCAAAACCGAAAAGGCCAAAAGGTCAGGCACTATTTAATCCGAACAGAAAAGTTATTTTCTCTCTGTGTCAAAAGCCATCAGTAAGAGCACGCTACCTGAGCAGTGATGCCCGCTTTCCCGGGACGGCCGTCCTTCTGTCCAGAACTGGGGCTGTGCCGCGCTTCCTGTAACAGAAGAGAGAACAGATTCAAATTATTGTATGCTTAGACCCATTTCTGCACATTCAGATTCTCTGGCCCTCACAAGGCTTTGTACCTCTTGGTTTGAAAAGCATTTTAAAAACTCCTAGTACATTCTAATTAGAGCCCTCAAAATTGTTTTTGATAAGTCAGGTATGCACATAAAAAATTAGCTCCATACATGATCAGTTGAAGTACCAGATTCTCCAAATCTGGTTTTCAGTTCTTAGAGGCCTGTACACTGCTGCATGCTCCATCTTATTAGCAACATTTAATCTGCAAATAGCATGATCTTGTATTAAAAAAGAAAAAAATATATTTATTTTACATATATCGAAATGTCTTTTTTTTTTTTAAAAGCCACTTACGTGAGGGACAGAGTCCAGAGATATTCCTTCCCATGTCAACTTTTCCCTCCCCTGTTTTAAAAGCTGAATACATTCTCAGGTAGATATGGTGTTTGTTTTACCCATTTTTCTGCGATTTGTGTTATTGTGTACTTATTTCTGACGCTGCAGAATTTACACAGGCCTGTAGTTTTGAGACTTCTATCTCCTCCCTTCACCTGCGAGGAAGATATCAGCTAAAATCACTGTCTATACACCATTTTCATGCCCTTTTTCCCCTCTACAGTTTTTCAAACAAATGGGAGAGGAAAAAAAAATAAGATAATGAGTACAAAGTCACGGTGTATTACATTTCCAGAAAAACTCTTACTTCAGTTTGTCATTTAATAAGCATTATCAATGTAAGTGATGGTCAGAAAGCCTCAGCACTGCAGGGTGTGGTATTTATGACTAAACTCTCCTCTTTTTTTTTAAATTAAAAAAAAGCATCTACCTGTGTTGAAATCTTTTCTTCCATCTTTTACCCTCCTCCTTCCACATATTTTACCCCCCTCATACTGCTTAGATCCTAGCGGACTGTTGCCACACATATATTTTTCCACCGAATTTCCTAGACATTGACAAATGTGAACCAAGGAAGCATTTTGCACAATGTTAACTTAGCAAAATAATTTCATTCCCCCATTCTCTCTTTTTCTCCATGGCACTCTATGCTTTTTTTACCCTCTGCTGTTGCTTTGTTTGGTCCTTGCCCACTTTTTTTGTACATTTGTCTGCTGCTGATCCTATTAGATTGGGCAGGAAGAACTGAATGTTTCCCACTCCCATTTGCTACACTTTCTCCCATTTTTTAGTGTTTTACAGATTAAACACATTCTACTGTCATTTTAATATATTTTTAAAGATAGGGGGTTTTTTTTCCTTCTCTAGTAACTTGGTGACTACAGTCACCCATGCTTTTGCAAAGCAAGGTGAGCCCTGTCCTGCTGTAGTACATGCTCCTGTCGGCATCCTGTGTGTAAATGACTTGCAAGCCTGTGATGCAAAGCATGAAAAAGGAAAAGGGGGTAACATGTAGAGATGCCCCTTAATATCATAAATAAAAAAACCAGACATTTTTAACTGACTCTGACTTTTTAAAGACATGCCATCAAGAGAAAACACCTATCTTAGGGGAAATCTCTATCTAGATCACCAGCAACACTTTTCTACACTAATAAAAGTAAAAAAAAATTAAAAATTCGAATTTACTGTTCATCATCACCTGTTTAGGATTTACTTTTCTGCATTTCACTCAGCCTGGGGAGTGAAAGTCGCCTGTTGGTTTCACTTTTGTTCTGAGCCAGTTTCACTTTCATGCACTGGCAGAATCTTTTCTATTTTCAGTTCAGCAATGTTAAAGAAGACATTTACATTTTTAAACAATCCTCATTACACTTATAACATGAACAATTCATGTCCATCTCTTTCCCAGGATGGGAAAAGAAAGACCAAGAAGAAAAAATCCGGGGGCCTAAATGTAATGGGCAGCGTCCTTCTAAAGCAGCAGCTCTCACTTGTCTCACGTTAGGTTGTGTTCTGCTCCTTCTTTCCCTGAAATCAATAGGAAATGTGCCACTAACTTCACTGACAGCAGGATCCGGCCTCTGGGTCTGTAATCGGCAACAAGAGAACGCCATACGTAGACCAATATATTTCTTATAATACACAATGTTTGCCTTCAATTATTTTCCTTTGCAAACTCAAGAAAAAAAAAAAAAACAGCCCCTGCATTTACCCTTCCATATGCTTTTAGGGAAAAAAAGTACCCTTCCTGACATAGTCCGTAGGAAATTGGAGGGCATCTATCCACTTCACTTTGCCTGGGGAGGGAAACATTGTATCTCCTTGCTACCAACTGCCAGTGACTATTTCTCCTCCTTGCGCCAAGCGCCAGCTCTATGAAACTCTCCAACCCATACAGAACCCCCACTGTCTTGCACCAAGACCTTGTTTAATCAAAGTTTCCAAACCGTATACTTCTGTAACCCTAATTTTTTTCAGGATAAACCACAACGCTTTCAGAAACCAGAACTATCAATAGCAGAAAATAAAACACCCCGCTTCCATCCACATTTCCAAAACCTGTATCTTCCCTTCTATGTGCCCACCCTCTCTCTACGGCACGGACACCGAAACGCAGCCATGTGCTCACGCGTATGTGCAAGCAGGCGCATATACATACAGCGAAATCTTCCTCTAGCTACCAAAGCACTGCAGTTTCTGCCTTTGTAGACATAAGGGTTTCTCAGAGATCGAGAGTAAATGGAAAGACTTAAAGGTTCATAGGAGCCACGCGACATGCAATTTTTCAACTTCTTTCCTAGAAATTCATATCCCACAAGCACACACACAGAAACTGTCACTAGCTGCTTACAGAAATTGTTGTTCTGTTTACGTGCCAAAAGTTAAATTTTAAAAGCTTACGTATGCAACTCCTGTGAGAATACTTACATCTCAGTTTTATTTACCCTACTGTTTTATTTCACCATATGAAACATAAATAAAAATGGGGAATTGCATTGTGATCGTGTACCCATCCGCTTCAGACACACACTTTTCTGTCCGAGTAGACTGTGGTACTATGTATTTGACTTCTATTACCACGTCATGCATCTAGACACGAGCAGCTTCCACAGCACTCTGTAGCACACATTCCCGTTTTCTCTTTTCCTGGATGCCACTACACGGAAGAGAAGTAACTGCTCCCTCAAAGAATTTCTCTCAGCCTTCCTTCTCTACCTCCACCTCTCCTCTCCTTTCCCCAGAAGACATCTTTTGTGTTTCCAAGGCCAGTTCAACATGAGACTTACAAATACACTTAATTTCAAGTGTGCAAATACACCCCTCCGTGTTCAGTGGAGTTATTCACTCCCACAAGTCACCCGCACCTTCGAGTGCTTCAGTGCCATATGAAGGCAGACCACTACGATCATCCGGGTCACAAAACACTCTGCTTGCCAGGAAGCACGATCACACCACCGACTTTCACAGACTTACAACGCACTACAGCTGTATCCCAGTGTAGCCACATTCCTCTTAAGTGCCGAAATTCACTC